GTTTCAGGGCTCTCAAATCCCAGCACATGTACGTCCTCGCCTCTATAAACGATTAAAAACATTGTACAAAGTGTAACAACAACACAATTAAAACAAAACAGAAGCAGACAGAAACTTGCCTCTTCAATGCTGCATTAATAAAACACTTGAGGAGTCCGCGCCCGGTGCATTTGACAGTATCTAAAAACAACGCCACATGAACACATTGTAGAAAGATACGGTGATGAGAGGACTGATGATGACTAGAAACGATGTTACCTTGAATGAGAATGAATCCTCCAGCCTCCGCTCCCTGTAGCACACAGGACTCAATAACGTTACTCATCTCAACAGCTAACAGCTAACAGCTAAACAGCGCACTGCTAAAACGAGTTTAACGTGTTTGATAAGACACTGTCCGGATGACTACAACATCCTTGGGCTACTGATTAAACATGAGAACATATGACAGATCCAAACTTCCTGGTTATACGTTAAGAGTTATCAAATCAACACGAGTTTGATTTAGCGATGGCCGCAGCACTGCTTCGCGAAGCTTCGAAACTTTGGTGAATCATTTGTTTCGAAACAGTGATTCGGAGCGCGAATCAAACTGCCAAAGTCACGTGGTTTCAGTAAACGAGGCTTCGTTACGCCATAACTGTTGGGCCCAGCGGCGAACCATTTTATTCTTTTTATTATTATTTATTTTATTTTTTTTATTTTGTCATTTAGCAGACGCTTTTATCCAAAGCGACTTACAAATGAGGACAATAGAAGCAGTCAAAACAAACAAAAGAGCAACAATATATAAGTGCAAATGACAAGTCTCGGTTAGTAGCAAGGTGTGTATATATATATATATATACATATACATATATATATTATACACACACACACACACACACACACACACACATAAAAACAAGTAGATAGAATAGAAAAAATAGAAAGCTAGTGGTTTTTTTGTTTATTTGTTTTTTTAAATAAAAATAATTCTATGGTTTTTACCTGATCTCGGATCAGTTTCATCAATTTGCAGACATTTTTACGAGACATTTGTGTAATTAAAAGGATGAGAAGTAGTTAATAGTCTCTTACTGGCCTCTACAAGCTCTCAAAAAAAAAAAACAAGCCTTGCAAATTAATATAAAATATTTTAAAAACCACATGTTATACAGACACTTCATATTTAATGGTATTTTATGATTTTTATAGCATTTAATATATTATATTTTAATAAAACATTTGCAGTGGGTTTTTAAAAGCTGTTTTTTATCCATTTTTTAGCCTAAAGTTTTTGTTTCATTTACACACTTTTGGCCAGCAGGCGTCACCAGCGTGTGGTGTCTCGAGCGCTTCGATTCAGTGAATCATTTTGCAAAGCAATTGGTTCAATTGATTCGAAGCTTTGAAAAGATTCGTTTCTCCCGTCACTAGTTTAGTTTATTACAGTGAATACAATTTCCCAAAACACACACATATATATATATATTATATACTGTATTATTGTATATTATATTATATTATATTATTATACACTATAACAACATTTTTCTAAGTTTTTTCATCTAATTATATAATAATTAATTGCATAGTATCTAATTACATTTCATTTTTATTCCAATTATTGAAAACGTTCAACATAAGGGTTTGAGTTAGTTTAGAGGCAAAAAAAATGCAAAATGTGAAAACAACAACAAAAAAAGATTAGACGAAATAACTACATACATTTTGAATAATACGCTTTAAATAAATAAACAATAAGATATAATTCAAATAAAGAAATGAATTAATAATAAAAATATTTAAAGATGGATAAATCATTAAAAAAATATATTATACAGTATAATGATTAGGAAAAAAAGTAATAAATGTGACAGATACAAAAAACATTTTCCAAATATGATTTTACACATATTTATAAAATAATTTTTCACCCTTAAATTGGGTCTTTACACACTAGAATATATAGACGCTGTCTTAGTATTTGGGGAGCATGTGTCATCTAAAAGACTGAAAACCCCTTGCTTAACACATTTGATCCCTTAACCATGATTAGTATTATCAGTCCTGATGTTTTTAGCCTCTGAGTCTGAACATCTCAGTATAGAGCAAGGATATTTTTAATTTAAAGCAGCACTGTGTAACTTTTTCTGTGCTCAAAATTTGCTAAATGTATATAATGAGCGAGTACATCATGAATTTATCTTCCAAACCGCGTTTTTGTCTCATTCCGAATCACTACGGTACACTTATAATAAGTACTTATATTCGGACTATTGTAGCCTGGTCACCGCTGTGGAGTAACACATAACTGCGTGAATCGCCAGAGACATACACTTAGAGAAGTAGCTCCGGTTAGAATGTTCTTCCGCGGGATGTGTGCAGTTCTGTTTATTAACCGCTAGAGCGACAAAAGTTACATAGTGCTGCTTTAAAGGCACTAAAGCTCTTTAATTGTCTGTCTCCTCAAGGCCCCTATATAGTGACAGCTCAACATTGCCCTCTATTGATATTAAACAGAACATGGGAGGAAAAAACAAGAAAGTAATGAAATTATTTAAAATGAACTCCTGTTCACTGAAGTTTTAAATTTGTTTGAAAAATAACTAATATGACTGATTTCAATATAAAATATATAATATATGTGACCCTGGAGCACAAAAGCAGTCTTAAGTCGCTGGGGTATATTAGTAGCAATAGCCAACAATACATTGTATGTACCGATTTTTCTTTTATGCCAAAAATCATTAGGATATTAAGTAAAGATCATGTTCCATGAAGATATTTTGTAAATTTCCTCATTTTGAATTTAAATTACTTAATTTTTGATCAGTAATATGCATTGCTAAGGACTTCATTTGGACAACTTTAAAGGCGATTTTCTCAATATTTAGTTTTTTTTT